TCTTGCTACGATACTCTTCCCATACATATTCTCAAAAGTGTTAGCTAGTGTATGCAACGAATAGACGAATAGTTCTTTCAAAATAGGCGAAAAGCTGAACAGTGTAAAATCAGAATTTTGCTTATTTATATAAGAGTTTTCCGAGTACAGCGTTCGTTTTCATTTCGGATAGATTCTATTTACCCGGAGATTTGAATAATACCGTATGTCCAAAACGGTGAAAATTACCGTGTACTTAATTTCTCAGAGGTCGTTTTCAGTAATTTTGCTTTGCCTAAAATGTAAGCAGATGATATCACAGAACTGTGAATTTCCCGCAGAATTCAAAACTGTGAACTGTATTTGTGTGCGTCATGTAGATCTATTTTGAATTTTATTCAACTTCAATGTGAAGGTTGAAAATAGGGACATATATGTCCCTGTGGCATCCAGGTAATAGACCCGTGAAGATCCCGGGTAGAATAGGTCTTCAGCAACCCATGCTTGCCGTGAAAGGCGACTATGCTTGTCGTAAGAGGCGACTAACGGGATCGGGTGGTCAGTCTCGCTGACTTGGTTGATGCATGTCATAAATCCCAATTGCGTGGATCGATGCTCAAGATATCAATCACTGGATTGTCTGGTCCAGACTCGATTATTTATAGACCGCCGTCATATAGCTGGGATATTGCTGAGTGCGGCGTAAAATAACAAACCAACCAACCAACCAATCCAGGTAATAAAGCAGGGTTACTCAAACAATGGAAATGTAGGGGCAAAGTTAGCTCTTGTTAATAGTATACTTCGTTATATTACCAACGACTTGGTATTTTCATGCGCAGTATTTGTAGTGGATTGGTTCAACAAAACATGTACGTGGATACTGTTTAAAGTGATAGGTATTGTTTTAATATTGGCGAAGAGATTTTAAGAAATATTTATCCATTTCCTGCCTGATGGATACCATGCATTATTCCTGGATGTGACTGATTGGTTGATAGGAGTCAGTCAGCTGTTATGCTTTGATTTGAATGTCACCTGGCATGTACGGCTGGGACGATACCGAATTTACTACCCGGGTACCCACGCCCCTATTACCCGACACTACCCGGGTACCCACTGTAGGTTTCAAAAGATAGGTAAAAAATGTCCTATTGGGCATTTTTTTACCATAGCACTGTCAAAACGTATTTAGACACATGTATTAAACAATCTGGTCATGCATACACTGAAGTTGACTCAAGTAATATCTTTATTCAAAGATATGAAAAGTCAGAAGAAAAGGGTGCATAGTCAGAAAGAAATGCGAACATTTGTGACTTGTAGTGTAACCATAGAGTTCTAGATAATGTTTGTCATTAAACAATATATCACGTGACTAACCACGGGTCCGGGTAGTCCTGTGGGTATCCGGGTCCTACGCAGTACCCACCCGACCCGGGTACACGAGTTACCCGTCCGAGCCCTACTGGCATGCCCAGATTCAACCTTTTAGTTGATAAAGTAAGATCTAATCTTTGATTTGATGCATGTCATTGTATCCCACTGGCGACTAACGGGATCGGGTGGTCAGACCTGCTGACTTGGTTGATGCATGTCATCGATCCCAAATGCGTTGATCGATGCTCATGATATTAATCACTGGATTATCTGGTCCAGACTCGTTTATTACAGACAGCCGTCATATGGTCATATTGCTGAGTGCGGCGTTAAACAACAAACCAACCAACACACCAACTGAGTGGATTGATGCTCATTAGGTCAATCACTGGATTGTCTGGCCCAGACTCCATTATTACAGACCGCCGTCATATGGTGATATTGCTGAGTGCGGCGTTAAATATCAAACCAACCAACACACAAACTGGGTGGATTGATGCTCATGATGTCAATCACTGGACTGTCTGGCCCAGACTCCACTATTACAGACCGCCGTCATATGGTCATATTGCTGAGTGCGGCGTTAAACAACAAACCAACCAACACACCAACTGCGTGGATTGATGCTCATGATGTCAATCACTGGATTGTCTGGCCAAGACTTCATTATTACAGACCGCCGTCATATGGTGATATTGCTGAGTGCGGCGTTAAACAACACACCAACCAACACACCAACTGCGTGGATTGATGCTCATGATGTCAATCACTGGATTGTCTGGCCAAGACTCCATTATTACAGACCGCCGTCATATGGTGATATTGCTGAGTGCGGCGTTAAACAACAAACCAATCAACACACCAACTGCGTGGATTGATGCTCATGATGTCAATCACTGGATTGTCTGGCCCAGACTCGATTATTACAGACCGCCGTCATATGGTCATATTGCTGCGTGCGGCGTTTAACAACAAACCAAACAAAACTACCTTGATATTTTGCTTGTTACAAAAAATATGTAAATTAATGTAATATCCATTAGTAGATACAATATCTTTATTAATCAAGAACTCTTATTACCTGATTAATTTTTTTTAAACTTAACAACACTATATTCATTATTCTGTCTGCCTCGGTGACACATACTATATAATAAAAAATATATAGTCTTTGTTTGTGTGTGTGTGTGTGTGTGTGTGTGTGTGTGTGTGTGTGTGTGTGTATTCTGTCGGTATAACTAACTGTCTTCCGAGGGGAGTCTAGCAATATTGCCTTTTTTATGTTTCACGTTGCAGAGTCGACATTACCATCGATAGATAACAAAATGCACAATAGTTAATCCGACACTCATTAATCCGACAATCGGCTTTATCCGACACTAATGATGGGAACCGATTAAATCAGTGCTATTTAGACCCGTTAATCCGACAGTCTCGCACTCCAACTCCGACGAACCTAATTTGCTATATCGAATTGCGAAAATCACTTATTAATCAGTCTCTTTAATCCGACACAGTGGTCAGCGTATCTTTCGCGAACTTTGACCGACAATGTTCAGTACTATCTTGATATTTTTTTAATTGGGTTTAACCCCGCTTTTAACAGTTATATGCAGCGTCAGCTTAATTTGAGAGGAAAGCCCGAAGTGATGCAGGTCTCAGACGTTACAACTTTGGTGAAACCCACGAGCACAGGTTTGGTGCCCTCAAACCTACAAACATAATCGGGGCGAACCGGGATTCGAACCCACAATCAGAGGTGTGGCCAAAGGGACGCAACTCTGCGCCTTAGACGACTGGGCCGCCCGTGCCTCCAACAAGAATATGTAAATTCATATACTATCCATTGGAAGACATTATATCTTAGTTAATCCAGCACTGTTATTCTTCTTTGATTTGTATTTTGTGTTTATATTATGGCTTTTAATAGTATTAATAGCTGTATCCCAAGGGCAGTCTGGCAACGGTGCCTTTATATTGAACTTAGGTCATATTACCTTGCAGAATCGATATCACCTTTAAGAGAGTTATGTGTATTTTGATGAGAGTCACCATGAGTCTCCGTGAGAGTCTCCGTTACTCTAATGGGAGTCAAGATGATACTAATGGGAGTCAAGCTGACTCTGTGGAGTCGTTTTGAGCACTGTTGCTGGACACCCCTAAAAGAGTCAAAGTGACACTTGGGGCCCTGGTTCTCACACGACGACCCAATTTATCTCACAACTTCTCAATTGGATTGAGATCTGGACTTTTGCTGGCAAAGGTAAAGTGTCGATCGTATTCCTGCCCTTATGGCTTACAAGGTAACGTGAAGCTTGCAGTGTTTTCTTGAATGTCTCATCAATAACAACTTTTCAGTCCATAGAGCGAACGTGAATTATTGACGAAGCCATATATAGCATACACTGCTATGTGGAAGTGCAGCTCAGTACGCTTCGCACACCAAGTGGTACTTGTAGCACACAAAGAACTACATAAACCTACATCATGCTGCTGTCTAAGATCACCCTCGCCATCGTGGCCTTGTTCGTTTTTGTACACCAGGCCATCGCATTCTGTTCGCGGACGATGACGCACTTGCTCGCAACCGAAGACGACAAGACTGCATTTGCGGAACATTATGTTCCTAGTCCAATGCACTGTGTGCTGCTGTGTACCCAGACCCACCAGTGCGAAGCTGTAGGGTTATCCAGATATGTGTGTAGGTTGTACAAGGGAAAACGGACAGGCCGGGGGACGCCGTCACAGAAGACGGAGTCACTGGTGTTGTTGGTGCGAAAGGCAACATGGCCAACGGTACGGTTAAACATGGGTGACAAGTGAGTGGGTGACGTTAACGCCATAGTCGGCCATTTTCCAGGTATGCCTTGATCTCCAGGCGCACCATCACTCACTAACACTATGAGCAACGTTTAGGTGCATTACAGAGCTGAAAAAATATTTAAGATCCCACTTCAAATGTGGTCGAGTTTTATCTGAATCTGGTTAATGTCTTAATATTTTGTTTGATGGGCATTACTTAGAAGTTGACGGATGACAAGGTAGACACAATTTTATTGATAACAACTTCTTTAATACTGTGAAGAACGACGCTTCGGTATAGGTCCTTATACCGTTGTCGAGCAAGACTGAATCAGGGACATAGTACAGAATATATATAGTAGGCGGAGGATTGACAGTAAAGGATTAACAGTAACAACAATTGCATACATGAGTGGGATAACATTGGTAGGTGTTGACAACAAAGGGATAATGCTGTCACAACACGATGGACAGAGAACACATCGTCGCTTTTCACAGTATTAAAGAAGTTGTTATCCATAAAATTGTGTCTACCTGGTACGGTAAAACATGGGTGAAGAGTGAGTGGGTGAAGTTAACGCCATAGTCCAGGTATGCCTTGAACTCCTTTTGGGCCAGGCGCACCATCACTCACTCACACTATGAGCAACGTTAAGGTGCATTACAGAGCTGATAAAATACTTAATATTTGCGATATATTAGGCTGATTCAACGATGGATTGCTTTGTCTGTCGTGTTACGCCTTAGTCAGCAATATTCTAGCTATTGTGGACCCTTGGTATGGTCAAATAATTCACGAACTGTATACTGGTGTTTGATTCGCTTTGTTTGCACCGCAGAGATTTGTTGGTCACCAAATGCAGCGAAAACAGGATGCCATTGGAAATCGAGTGACTTCACTTGCAGTAATATCACACACCACAGCCATCATCAAACCACCATCGAGTACGGAGGGTCACCTAACAGTTGCGTCGTCAACCGTAACGTCTGTGCCTCCTCCGACATCATCACCACTGGCAGTAAGGAGAATGACAAAAGGTAGGATAATGATATTCTGGACCCTCCTGTACAAATCACGGCACCGAAGTGCTCCGACGATAGTAATATAATGGTAATGGTCTTATCACTTACGAACCAATCATTTGATATTCGGATAGGAGATAGAGGATAGGAGTTTCATTTGAGCAGAATATAGTCAGTCAACGCTTCAAAACTTCCTCGGAAATGAAGAGGCGAACAGGTTTATTTTACCCTGAACACATTCTTGTTCAGAATATCCAGTACAGTAGACTACGGTTAAAACGAACCCGTTTATAACGAACTGACGGATATAACGAACTTACTTTTTGGTCCCTACTATTTGCTGTAGTTATGCTGTATATATGCTTATAACGAACTGCGGTTATAACGAACTAAAATTAGTAGTCCCTTTGAGTTCGTTATAATTGTAGTTTTACTGTATGTCCATTTGTCGATTTATGATATGGGGTATAACAGGTGGCAATGGAGAATATCAAATTATTAAGAGGGCCCTGGACCCTGCTTGTTGGGTATACCAACCTGTACAGCTGCTTATTCAAACTAAACCTGTTGTGTCCCTCTACTAGGGTACCATTCATAACGTAAAGGAAGGCGTGTGTTTTTTCCCCGTTTTTTGTAAAAAAAATATCTCATTTTCAGGTCAAACCTTGCACCGTTAGTGACACAAGCAATTATAGTTCAAGTTTCATTTAAAACTCTGTGTTTACACGTGCCCACGATTTAACCCCCTGGATGCCGAGTACGCATATTGTTATAAGTGCTGAAAAGATATCGTTGTGCGAGAATTGCGCTCGAGAGGCAATGTTTCTGTACCACACTATGAAATTAACAGTGATGTAGAAAATTAAATGTCCTGTCTGATGGTGTAAGTGCAAATATTTAACTGGTTTGAAAAGCAGAGTGGAAAGTGTAATCAGATTAATTTTATTATAAACTCTTCAAAAAAAGAAATGCATAGTTAAAAAATAAGGATATTTATTAAGCGGATGGAAAAGTACCTACACAGAATTTGCGTGAACACAATCAAATGAAATTAGACACAGTGATCGACAAAAACATTGTCGTCATTTTCAGCATTAATTCAGTTCAGTCATTGCACATGTGTAGCCACAAGGGGGCGTCATGGTCAATACCTGGTCACACCACCTCTTGCAGCCGTCACTGCTCGACACCTCCTTGGCACAGATTGCACAAGTCGTCGGATTTTTTCGTGGGGAATTCTTCGCCATTCCTCCTGTAAGGCGTTGGCGAGTTGTGCCAGTGTGTGGGGACGCTGATGACGTTGACGGACGCGTCGATCAAGTTCGTCCCACAGATGTTCAATCGGGTTGAGATCAGGCGATTTTGACGGCCATGGAAGGACATTGATGTTCTCATTAACAAGGAAATTAACTGTCATGTTGGAACAGCTCCCTTTGGCGGCCCAAAGCTGGGAGGAGGTGAGGACGCAGAATTTGGTCTATGTATCGGTTTGCTGTAAGATTGCCAGGGGCAACCACTAACTGTGATCTACCCGTGTAGGATATGGCTTCCCACACCACGACACTCCCTCCACCAAATCGGTCCACCTGTCGAACGCAGTTCGGCGCAAAACGTTCATGTCGACGTCGGTATACACGTTGTCTTCCATCCCGTCGTTGAAGAAGAAAACGTGACTCATCGCTGAACCAAACGCGTCGCCAGTTCTTGAGATCCAATGCCTGTACCCTGTTGCACCACCGGACACGTCGTTGACGGTGTAGACGTCGCAAGACAGGTCCAACCTTTGGTCAACATAAGAATTGTCTTTATGACGATTGCTGGGGGAAAAAATCTAATTGGAATTCTCAAAACACCTATGCGTTTCATTTTTTGAAGAGTGTAGTTTTCTTTTGTATTTGACAGCTTTATGGAAACTAAGCGAACACAATACCGCCATGACGATATATCAAATGAATCCGTATGCTTAACATGATATCTTATATAAATAAATGAAGAAAATCGATTTTCAGCTATGACGTAAAAAAACAGAGGTATACACACATAGAAAAAAGGGCATAACTCTTCTATATTTAAAACAAGTCAAGTATAACTTTATACGATAAGGACACTATGTTTTGAATTATTTTCGTATTTTGTTGTTCACCAAGGACCAAATCGTATAGGTTTAGGTAATGTCATAAATGACAAGAAATGATGAAATCTTACTAGATAGAAAAAGAAGTCACTAACTATCTCACATGCAAATTAGGGCCTTATCGTCCTCGTCACTTGAACTATTTAGCAGCGTTAGCACGAACCAAAGGAAGGAAACGTGCAGATGTATTATTTTAAGCGCTACTGACGCAGTCACATAACTGCCGATTCTTACCCAGGTTATAACCGAGTGATCAAAACTTAATGATGATGTTTATCATCAGCAAAATGGATGTTTCTTGAAAGCGCACCTTGCAGTTTTTATCGTTACTGTTCTTTTTTCACTTTATAAGTATTAGAACACTGCAGCTGTCTTCATGAATCGTCGCGATATTTCGTTATTTCTTTTCCATTGGCGATGACAACAGATGACCGCATTCTCCTGACTGTGTAAGTGTGATCCGACTAATGTTGCACCATTATTAAAGAGAGTACTAGCCTTATCATCAAGTGTAATAAATTACTAAACAGTAATTTGACACCTTTTTGTTTCACGTCATAGCGTGTTTGACGTCATAGCTAGCATGTTTTGTGTCTTTCGTTCATGGTATTAAACATCTCATAATCATTATTTGCGACTTTTTCCACACAACATAAAACGAATATTTTTACCAAGTAAATTGTCTTGAATATTACCTAAACGATTGGCCGTGAATCTTAATTGGACGCCTGTTACTCTATTGAATTATCCGGATAATCGTATACGGTTCGACCAACGGGTTACGTGGCACACTTTATATTAATATTTACAATTCTTGTAGAAATAAAGTGAAGAGTTTAATATCCGTGATCACGTGGTGAAACAATAGATCGTATTAAACAAACCATTGGGAGTAAAATCTGAATTTTCGTTGTTTACATTCCAAATAAGTTGTTTTCCGAGCACAGCTTTCGTTTTCACGCCTTATTTATTTCACTAGATTTTATTTAGACAATTTGCATTAGTGACAAAGACCATGCATTAATGTCACTTGGTTCTAAAATGTATGTGGAATTCAAGGATGTATGTATCGGAGTTGAGATTGTAATGTTACATGTAAAAACCCTATAGTCGTCCAATACTGCTATACGTGGTTTTGTAAACATTATCTAATATGGCGGAAAGTTCTCTTCGGCGTACGGCGTTCGGCGTTCGGGGTATGTTTGCGTATTTTCTCAAATATTCTGACCGATTGTAGGGTTGTCGGCGACGTTTCAGAATGATAATTTGTGATTTGATTTAAAAAACACATACCCGTTATCACTAATCGTGTTATTTCGTGTGTCTTTTGAAATCTAAATATCGTATAGATTCTATTTCCTCGAAGAATTTAGTAATACTGTATGCCAAAAACGGCGAGATTTTATATGCCACCTATTTTGGGTGTAATTTTGCTTGGCCTATAAAGTCCGCGGACTGATATCTGAGAAGATAATTAAGAATTTCCCGCAGAATTTAAAACTGTAAAGAGTATGTGTGTGTGTGTGTGTGTGTGTGTGTGTGTGTGTGCGCGCGCGCGCGCGTGTGATGTAGATCTGTATTTTGAAGTTTAATCGACTTGAAAGTGAGGGTTGAAAAGGAGGGACATATATGTCCCTGTGGCATCCAGGGAGTAAATAGGGTTTATCCAAACAATGTAAGTAACGTGTCGCGGCAAAGTGACCTTAAGTTCAATAGTTTACTTCGTTTTATTATTGACGTCTTGTATTTGAAGCGGATTGGTTCATACAAAGCATGAACGTATCCTTGACGTGGATAGGTTACTATTTTTTGTTGTGGACATTTAGCTTGAACAAACAAAAAAACATGCGCTATACAAAGCATTGCAAGGCACAAGCAAATTCTCTTAGACATTGACATAGTCGCTTTATTTCATCAGCGACAGAAGCCCAGACCTTGTTCCACCGAGTGTTAGAACCAATGAGCGCCCATTGTAACACGTGCCACAGCCCTGAATCAGTCTACCGTACACAGTAGCAGACAACGTAGCCCCCCCTGGGTTTTTTACAGAAAACATTTTTCCTTGTGAAGGTTAAGTTGAACAAAAAATGAATAATCTTATGTGCCCCCACTCACTCAAGTACAGTTGTACTCCTTTGTGTTCGATTATTCGTTGTAATATTTTCACATGCATTGCAGGCGCCTGCCGGAAGCATAATGGCTACACCTTCATGTCAAGAACCAGCATGTGCATACGCCATTCAACAGGGAAACCCGTTACCTGGTTTGAAGCTCGTCAAATATGTAGAGCTGAGGGCGGGGACCTCGTAAAACTAACTTCGTCGTGGAAAGGAAGAGTTTGCCATGATTTCGTACATTACAGTAAGCAAAGCAAATCTCTCGAAATCTCATTTATCAATAGACTAATCAACGAGTGTGGCATTTAATATATCCTGTCAGATACACATCCGGACCATGATGTGATGAGACTAATCTCCTGAAACATAACACCCTATATTATCTAGAACGCGATTCTTTACGTAGATCTTTTTATCAAGTTTGGAGCAGTGTGTTACATTTCTCACAAAGTTTCTACTTTTTGTAGCCTTCTCGTTCAGAATTTTATTTATAATTTAATATTTCCGAAGAGGCTAGTACCTTCGACACGGTGGTGTGGTCGAGGTTAGTGCCTTCAACACAGGGTGGTGTCATTTTGGGTAGTACCCCAAAACACATGGTAGTGTCATTGAGTGTAGTACCTTCAACTCACAGTCGTGCCATTGAGGGTACAACGTCTACACACCATGGTGTCATCAAGAGTAGTACCATCAACACTACCCGTGAGGATCCGGGTTAGAATAGGTCTTCAGCAACCAATGCTTGTCCCTCGTGAAGATCAGGGGTAGAATAGGTCTTCAGCAACCCATGCTTGCCGTAAAAGGCGACTATGCTTGTGGTAGGAGGCAACTAACGGGATCGGGTGGTCAGGCTCGCTGACTTGGTTGATGCTTGTCATCGTATCCCAAAGCGTAGATTGATGTTCATGATATCAATCACTTGATTGTCTGGTCCAGACTTGATTATGTACAGACCGCCGCCATATAGCCGGAATATTGTCAGGTAAGGCGATAAACAACAAACAAACAAACCGTCAACACACTGTGGTGTAATCGAAAGCAGAACATTCAACTCCGAGGAGTCGTAGCACCTTGTCGTAGCACCTAATCGTAGCACCTTGTCGTAGCACCTAGTCGTAGCACCTTGTCGTAGCACCTAGTCGTAGCACCTTGTCGTAGCACCTAGACGTAGCACCTTGTCGTAGCACCTAGTCGTAGCACCTTGTCGTAGCACCTAGTCGTAGCACCTAGTCGTAGAACTACGACGTGTTGTGGCACGTGGCACAGCGCACAACTTCACAAATCAAGTGAAGTTAAGGAACATACACTTAGGTATCCCGAGTTGTGCGTAGGAGTGAGTGAGTGAGTGAGTGAGTATGGTTTTACGCCGCTTTTAGCAATATTCCAGCAAAATCACGGCGGGGTCACCAGAACTGGGCTTCACACATTGTACCCATGTCGGGGATCGAACGCGGGACTTCGGCGTTACGAGCGAACACTTCAACCACTAGGCTACTCCACCGCCCCTCATTGAAGATGACACATGGTGGTGTCTAGAGAGAACAACCTCATTGTGTGCTGACATCGATCGTGATACCTTCAACACCCAGGGAAGATAGTGAGGGTAGAACTTTCAACCCTCAGCGATGTAATCTATGGCGGTACCTTCAACACACCGTGATGTCATCGATGGTGATACCTTCATCACCCAGTGATGACAGTGAGGGTAGAACTTTCAACACTCAGCGATGTAATCTAGGGCGGTACCTTCAACACACCGTGATGTCATCGATGGTGATACCTTCATCACCCAGTGATGACAGTGAGGGTAGAACTTTCAACACTCAGCGATGTAATCTAGGGCGGTACCTTCAACACACTGTGATGTCATCGATGGTGATGTAATCTAGGGTTGTACCGTCAACACACCGTGATGTCATCGATGGTGATACCTTCATCACCCAGTGATGACAGTGAGGGTAGAACTTTCAACACTCAGCGATGTAATCTAGGGTTGTACCGTCAACACACTGTGATGTCATCGATGGTGATGTAATCTAGGGTTGTACCGTCAACACACCGTGATGTCATCGATGGTGATACCTTCATCACCCAGTGATGACAGTGAGGGTAGAACTTTCAACACTCAGCGATGTAATCTAGGGTTGTACCGTCAACACACTGTGATGTCATCGATGGTGATGTAATCTAGGGTTGTACCGTCAACACACCGTGATGTCATCGATGGTGATACCTTCATCACCCAGTGATGACAGTGAGGGTAGAACTTTCAACACTCAGCGATGTAATCTAGGGTTGTACCGTCAACACACTGTGATGTCATCGATGGTGATGTAATCTAGGGTTGTACCGTCAACACACCGTGATGTCATCGATGGTGATACCTTCATCACCCAGTGATGACAGTGAGGGTAGAACTTTCAACACTCAGCGATGTAATCTAGGGTTGTACCGTCAACACACTGTGATGTCATCGATGGTGATGTAATCTAGGGTTGTACCGTCAACACACCGTGATGTCATCGATGGTGATACCTTCATCACCCAGTGATGACAGTGAGGGTGGAACGTTTCAACTCACAGTGTCACACTATTGCAGCACCACATCTTTGTCGTAAGAGGCGACTGACGGGATCGGGTTGGTGTCATTTGCGTATTGCGTAGATCTATGCTCATGATCACTGGATTGTCTGGTCCAGAACTCGATTATTTATAGACCACCATTATATAGCTGAAACATTGCTGAGTGTGGCTTTAAACAACAAACACAATACCTCGTACTGTTATCGAGATGGTACCTTCATTTCACGGTGGTGTCATCGAGCTTAGAACCTTGAACCCCGACTGGTATCATCAATGGTCGTACCTTCAGGTAGAACCATCTACACAATGCTACACAATGATGCCACTGAGAGTGCTACACTGAGGGTACTATCTTCAACACACAATGCTGCCACTGAGAGTGCTACACTGAGGGTACTATCTTCAACACACAATGCTACTGAGGGTGGTACATTTAACTCACGGTGATGGTGCTACACTGAGGGTACTATCTTCAACACAGAATGCTGTCATAGATTTTGCGTGTTTGTTTGTTTGTTATTTAACGCCGCACTCAGCAACATTCCGTCTATATGACGGCGGTAGTCATTTAGGTAGTATCTTCTATACAGAGCAGTGTCATTGATGGTACTACCTTGAACTCACCATGGTGTCATTGAGTGTACTACCTTGAACTCACCATGGTGTCATTGAGTGTACAACCTAGAACTCACCATGGTGTCATTGAGTGTACAACCTAGAACTCACCATGGTGTCATTGAGGGTACTACCCTGAATTCACCATGGTGTCATTGAGTGTACAACCTAGAACTCACCATGGTGTCATTGAGTGTACAACCTAGAACTCACCATGGTGTCATTGAGTGTACTACCTTGAATTCACCATGGTGTCATTGAGTGTACAACCTTGAATTCACCATGGTGTCATTGAGGGTACTACCTTGGATTCACAATGGTGTCATTGAGGGTACTACCTTGAATTCACCATGGTGTCATTGAGGGTACTACCTACAACTCGCCATGGTGTCATTGAGTGTACAACCTAGAACTCACCATGGTGTCATTGAGTGTACAACCTAGAACTCACCAAGGTGTCATTGAGTGTACAACCTAGAACTCACCATGGTGTCATTGAGGGTACTACCTTGAACTCACCATGGTGTCATTAAGGGTACTACCTGGAACTCACCATGGTGTCATTGATGGTACTACCTTGAACTCACCATGGTGTCATTGAGGGTACTACCTTGAACTCACCATGGTGCCATTGAGGGTACTACCTTGATCTCACCATGGTGTCATTGAGTGTACTACCTTGATCTCACCATGGTGCTATTGAGGGTACTACTTGAACTCACCATGGTGTCATTGAGGGTACTACCTTGATCTCACCATGGTGTCATTGAGTGTACTACCTTGAACTCACCATGGTGCCATTGAGGGTACTACCTTGAACTCACCATGGTGTCATTGAGTGTACTACCTTGAACTCACCATGGTGTCATTGAGTGTACTACCTTGATCTCACCATGGTGTCATTGAGTGTACTACCTTGAACTCACCATGGTGCCATTGAGGGTACTACCTTGAACTCACCATGGTGTCATTGAGTGTACTACCTTGAACTCACCATGGTGTCATTGAGTGTACTACCTTGATCTCACCATGGTGTCATTGAGTGTACTACCTTGAACTCACCATGGTGTCATTGAGTGTACTACTTTAACTAATTTTCTCGTGCTTCACTCATTGAATATTATTTGCAGAACCGGTGAAGAAACCCTACTGGATTGGCTTGCAGATGAATGCTCATGGTGGCAGATGGGTTGGTGGAGATTCCATGGTATATTGTAACTTTATGTTCAACATCGTCCCTACTGCCAGTTCCCCTGTGTGTGTTAGGGTCAACAAGGGCCCGTTCCGCATATGGAAAAAAGCGGATTGCAACTCCACTGATGTTAAGAACCTCGTCTGTGAAATAGTCTAAACCACATCTCACTACCGGATGAAGTGTCACACTGTGAAACTTCGTTTGTGAAATAGTCAAATATAAAATAAAGACCAAAAGCCTTTCGTATTTCCTGTCATTGTATGATTCCGACTATAGCATGAGCATGTGTTTATGAATCACTACAAAAAGAAGTAGTGATGACGCGAAAATATGAGCGCACCGTGCCTGGCCAACCGGCGGCGGCCATAATATTTTTTTAAGATGTTCTGAAATTTGGCATAGGTGTAGTTAGTAGTGGGAACTGACATGCGTGTTCCATATTTTGCGATATATTATGAGTTTTGACCTTGATTCAACATTTACAGCATCATACACGTATTAAATACATCAGCGTCGAATATCTAATTATTTGTTGTTTATTTTGGCCACCATCAAGCATGGGTGTATATTTTCTTTTGCCAGGGAGTTTTACAGTCAATACTGAGTTCAAGCAGGCCAAAAGTGTCCACAGACGACTTCCCAGCATTTTTGCTAATTTGATTTGTGTGTTTACCCATTGGCGGGTACGTCAGATGAGCTACAGAGCCTAGTGGCTATTTTTTCCATTGCTTTCGTGGTGTTAATGATACCTATCCAATATACATATACAGTAAACTACGGTTATAACGAACACGCTTATAACGAACTGACGGATATAACGAACTTACTTTTTTGGTCCAAACTTCTTGCTGTAGTTATGCTGTATATGTGCTTATAACGAACTACGGTTATAACGAACTAAAATTAGCAGTCCCATTGAGTTCGTTATAACCGTAGTTTACTGCATATGACGGACAAAAGAAACTTCCCATTTTGAATGCAAGTAAAAGAAGTCAAAGTCAAATATAGTTATCAAAACCAGTGTATTAGAATATTAAACTAAGCTAACCACACAAACAATGAACTTCTATGAAAAGAGGTGATATCCTAAAATACCGTTTTCAAAATGACAAAGAAATAACAGGCTTATTGTAGAGCTCCAAATGTTTTTTTGGGATTTTCCAGTGCCTAATATCGTGTGTGTCCTCCTTGTGCGTCCATGCATGCCAATATACGTCGTCGTACTGATGTCGTCAGTCTCCTGATGACGTAATGGGGGATTATCGCCATCCCTCTAAAAGTGCTTGTTCCAGCTGATATCTGTTGGTGTGGACGGTTACTAAGTTGTCCAAGGGGTCCCACAAGTGTTCAGTAGGGTTCATATCCGGGGAACATGCCGATATGGCAGTATGTGGCCTGGCATTGTCTTGCTGCAGAATGGTTCCCCGCGACCGTCCACGCGAGAATGGTAATAACACCGGTTGGAGAACCCCGTCATGATACCTTTGTGCATTTAGGTTACCATTTATGATGACTAGGCGCGTTTTCTGATCACCGCTAATTCCTCCCTATACCATAACACCTCCTCGCCAATGTGGGTGGTACTCTTGGACGCACCCAGGTGCCAGTCGGATTCTTCTGTCAGCAACCGTGCTTGTCGATGTCTTAGAGTCAAACCAAGTCCACGTAGTGGACGATAGGCCCTGATACCCATAGGACGCAGAAGTCGTATGACTGTGGATAGGCTGATACGGTGTCAAAGTGCTGTTGCTGCTGCTGACGTCGCCGTCACCAACCTATTGCGGAGATGTATGGTACGGATGTGGCGGTTTTCCTGTTGGGTTGTAACGCGCGGTGTTCCTGTTCTAGGACTGTGACGAACTCTGCCTGTCAACCGGTAAGGCTGAAATGGTGCATACGCCATGCGACTGGAACAGCCTAAGGTTCTGGCAATATGGGTCTGTGACGCTCCAATTCTCGCTATACAAATGTCTCTCTCTCTTTCTTCCATAGATAAACATGACATTCCTTGTTAGGCCCACACAGCGTTGTTTCCAGACTGGAAACATTTAAAAAAACTCTTTAGGATTCGAACCAATTAATTTTTAAAGTGGGATATATATGCATTTCTCTGATTCGTCCATCGTTTACATCGGCTGTATCACCGACGCTGGGCCTGTTACTGAAGCCTGGCATTGTGACAGAAGCCTGCCCTGCCTCTCCACAATCTTATTAAAGTCAGATCTTAGTTCTCGCTATCGCTAAACAAAGATCTGAGGACATCCCATTACGGGTCACGTCAGACCGACCTTGCGCGAATTTTGACCAACTAATGGAAGGACTGACAAGAAGTCTAATCAGAAGGCAGCTTTCTCGTGCTTTACGGCACTAAATTAAAATTGGCGACTACGCTTCGAAACATATACTGAGTCAAATTAAAAACTTCACATTTTTAAAAGTAATCCCATATATGATATACAACGGACAAATGTATCAGAGAAGGTAATTTTTAATCATTAATGTCCAAAGAAGGATTTTAATTAACGGTGGTAACCATAATTTGTTGCAAGCACCTACGGTATTCGGTAATAACATCAACAGTTTAAATCATAAGTCCCAAGCACGAGAATCTGATGGCACACAAGTTCAGTAGCATGTATGGTTACCATGTGCGTTGACAACTGCCACACAACGCCTCCGCATGGACCTTATGATGCTTGTGAACACATGATTGGGAAGACGACGCCATTGTTGCTGCAAAATGGTGCCAAGATCTTGCAAATTCGGTGGTTGGTTCTGGAGAGTGTGCAGACTTCTGCCAAGAGCATCCCAGACGTGTTCGATGGGATTGAGGTCGGGAGACCTTGACGGCCAGTCCATGACGTTGACTCCCGCATTCTGAAGGAAATTCCTTGTCAAAATTGCTGTGTGGGGTCTGGCATTGTCGTGTTGGAAGATCAAACCGGGTCCATGTGCTGCCATAAAAGGCAGAAGTTCTGGTGCCAGTACCTGGTCGCGGTAAGCAGCAGCGTTGAGGTTGCCACGGACGACAAGAAGCCTGGAACGCGCATTGCCACAGAAAGCACCCCACACCATGACACTTCCGCCTCGAAATCTGTCAACTTCCTGTACACAACACTGGGCGTAACGTTCATGACGGCGCCTCCACACGCTCGCCCTACCATCAACAAATCGAAGATTAAATCGGGATTCATCACTGAAGACGACTTGATTCAAATTCCTCTGAGTCCATCGTAAGTGTCGCTGTGCCCACAATTGACGTTGACATCTGTGTAATTGAGTAAGAATCGGCCCGCAGTATGGCCGTCGTGCTTGAAAGTGAGCAGTTTTCAGACGGTTTCGAACAGTTTGCGCACTTAGTCTACCCCTAAACAGTTCATTTCTGGTTGATGTAGCCATCAAAAATCGGTTACGGAGGTGACGTAAGACAATCTGACGATCCTCTGCATGTGACGCCACAGGTGGTCGACCTGGCCGAGGGCGATCAGCGGTGGTACCCGTTTGCTGTAGACGCGTCTGTAAATCATAAACAGTCCGTCGACTACAACCCATCGTCCTTGCGACTTCAGCTACGGACGTTCCCGTCTGCAACATGCCGATCGCACGTTCACGTTGCACATTTGAAAGGCGTGGCATGACAAATGGCCGTAAAGACTTTTGTTTTCTTTTGTTTTTCTTTTTTTTGTTAATGACTGCTAACAAGTATGGCTGAAAACACGTGCGGTATTATGGCCACGTGACCAGTTGCACGGTAAAACCACTTTTGCCACTATAGTGCTGTGCACATGATTTTGATCAATTCACCTGCACAAAAATGGGTGTTATCTGAAGACAATACGTGGCCATTACTGTTTAAATACACAATAAGGGCCCACAATGATAACTGGACAAAATGTTAAAATTTTAGGATTGTGAAGTTTTTAATTTGGTTCAGTATATTTTGACAAATTCTCGATTAAAAAAATGAAACCTTAACAAAAGAACATTCTGGAATGGCAAATATATGGTCTAGATTGTATGGATTCAGTCGTTAAACCCGTAACTGTCGTTCGGAATATCCCGCATTAAAGTTTTGGAGGTTGCATGAATCGAAATCACATTCCGACTGTCACTTTCCTGATCTGGTAAGCGACGCTCTGATTGGTCGGATGAAAGGTCGTTCTGACGTGACCCGTAATGGGATGTCCTCAGATCTTTGTTTAGCGGTAGCGAGAACTAAGATCTGACTTTAATGAGATTGGCCTCTCCCTGGACATTTAGAACGACGTCGCTTCCTATGTTGGATACATTCGACTATAATTACAGCTGTTGTAGTGACAAACCGCTGTCAACTATAAAGGCCGCTTCTCAAACTGGCTACGGATTGGCTACAAGTAATACGATTCTTCTTAAACGGAATAATAAATATTTTAATAAGTCTACGCAAGTTGGATATATTCGAGAAATTCGCAAAGAAATACAGCTATTGCTGCGACAAACCGGCGCGAATTATCCCCCTTTGTATTTTAGGAGGAGATGGCGTCAGGTTGAGGTTGTCGGCGTCATGTTGCACTCTTGCCCCCTAATGATTCAGTTGAAAGGACTCGTTGTTATTATGCCGAAAGGGATCACCAGCTTATAAATGGGGTTGACGGCGTGTCAGACATCGCACGCAAGAATAGTAGTAGTGAGTAAGTATGGTTTAACGCCGCTTTTAGCAATATTCCAGCAATATCACGGCGGGGGACACCAGAAATGGGCTTCACACATTGTACCCATGTCGGGAATCGAACCCGGGTCTTCGGCGTGACGAGCGAACGCTTTAACCACTAGGCTACCCGACCGCCCTGCACGCAAGAATAAGAAATATAGACTGTTTCGTTTATTTTGAGTCATTTTATAATTTAAAAGATAGATTGTTTAATGACGTTGGTGCTGTCAGAATTGCAACTTCCTGATCGTGTGTCTGTAACCTGATATTATCACAAGGAGAGCAAAAGTACCGTGGCGGCAGTTTCATTATATCAGCTCATTTCCCCCGACACTAAATTCATCCCACGCATGCTACTTGTCTTCATCCCGTTTCTGTTATTACTTATGAAGGAAGTCATAAAGACGCCACGATGCTCAAGTAGTGTAAAAAAGTCAAGTCTGGAAGACCGTGACTTTCCATAGTCATGGGTGCTGACGGGGAAGCAGGCACTCTACCAATGGGCCCCCAAAGGACTCGAACCACAGCGGACTCCCGATTACCACCCTCTT